TATATATATAGACACACACACACAGGTTATTTACAAAGAAGAAACACAGGGCAACCGAGTCCAAAACGCAATCCAGAGGGAGCCGTCAATAACCAAACAGCAGGTCAAAAGAACCAGCAAATAACAAAAGGGCAAAAGAACCAAAACCAAATTGAAATCCAAAAGAGAAAGTACCGAGGTCATAATGGAAAGTCAAACACATTAATCGCAAGCAAATACAAAGGCAGCAAAAGCTGTAAGACAAGGTTGTGGGGCTTCTTCTGTAGTCCTTACGGCTGGGAGGTGGGAGACAGGAACAAGGCGATGAAAACCAGTTCATCCAGTTTTGACATGGCACTTGGCGGGAGAGATGGAAAACGTGGAACCGGATTGGGTGGTTGGATGGGATCTGAAGAGAAAATTAAGAGACATACACACCCACATATACGGACGTAACACTATTACCATTTCAAGCATTAATTGCATTAATTGCAGCACTTTGAAGAATTCACATTAAATTCTGTCCAGCATCAAATATAGTTAGCAGCATCCAACATGAGTTTGTTTTGTCTCAGTGAAAACATGGTGGGAGGCAGTGACATGGCTCCAGGATTTTAAAAGTTTGGTGTGATTTTCATATGTTTATGAAGGGTCTTGGCTATATTATTTTAATGGTTATGCAAACAAAAAGTGCATAGTGCTTCTAATTTTAATTTGTAGTTTTCAATATAATTTTTTTTGAGTTTGTGTAAGAGTACTTTTTGGAAATTTTCAGCACATTTTAACAATACTGCGATGACTGATAACCTTGATAATTTTGGTCAATATAATTATGACATTTATATTTAATTTAATGTCTAATATGATGTGAGAAAGATTTTTAAATAATTTAAAAATAAAGATTTCATCATTTCAAAAATACTAACAGTATTTAGAGTGCAGTCTCACAGCTAAACATCACTTAAAAACCAGATCCATATGATAAAATCATTTTGTCTAATATACAAGTACAAGGTGTCAAACTCCAGTCCTGGGGGGCCGGAGCCCTGCACATTTTTGGGTCTCCCCTCATTTAACACACCAGATTCAACTCCTTGTACTAATTACCACACAGCTCTTGAGCTGAATCATTTGTGGTGGAACAGGGAAAGAACTAAGCTACACAGGACTGCAGTTTGACACCCCTGTCATAATGTATATATGGCTCTGTTTACACTTGAGCCCTGTTTACACTGGGTTTCAAAATGCTTCTTGGCTGGAGAGGTTGACAACTGAGTCACATGACCATTTTTAGTAATCTCCAGAAACCATTCATGTAACATAGATAATAAATACAATGTTTCTAATTTTCCTGAAATGTTTGGAGAAATTGATAACTATTATTCCTGCAAAAGTGTTGTTTTATCTTCGGAATAGTTTATTCTGTCAAAAGCATGTGTGGTAAAATCAACAAAACTCAGGGAAGCCTGTCCACCCAGCCACCGTCCCTGAGGCTGGCCCGAAGAGCGGCTTTCAGGGAGCAGTGAAAACGCTCGCACAGCCCGTTGGCCTGCGGATGGTAGGCTGTGGTACGATGGAGGGAAACCTCCAAAAACCTGGGCCACTGCAGCCCAGAGCTCGGAGATGAACTGGGCTCCACGGTCCGAAGACACATCAGACGGAACCCTGAAATGAGACACCCAACCACCAATGAAAGCCCTGGCTGCGAACAAGACCGAGGCTCTCAAATGCAGCAAACTCCGCGCTGGCGATGGCCAATTTACCCGCATCGAGGCGTCGGGCTCGGGCATGGACCGGCGGCCCTGTTGTGACAATGTGGTGTTCAACACCGTGCTTAGCTGTGACAGATGTAAAAGTGGGCCGGGTGATCCGGGTGATGCCTGGGAACCCCACCAGTAGGTGGGAGATAGTGTCAGTTGCCCCCCAAGGCGCTAGACAGCTGAGACGAACCAGCCCTGTTGCGCGGCCACAACACTGAATGGAAAGTCCTGCCGTCAACCAGGCGGTGCTGTTTTATGTTCACCAGCAGGTTTTTAGCGCATAAAAAAACCGACGCCCAGCAGGGGGGTGGACACCTTCGCCAGCGCTAGACTGCCTCGACATGAGTGCCATAAATGTGAATATTGCTGCCATTAGCGGCCTCCGAGGTCTGAACTGCAACAAGATTAGAGTTGCAACTGAAATTGTGTGTTGTGATTAGACAAGACAGAAATTGAGATTTTTGGCTATGCCCATCTTCATCACATTTGAAGAAAAAGGGGGACTGCATACATAGAATGGCACCTCATACCCAGTGTAAATTATGGTGGTGACTCTGATGCTTTGGGGCTGTTTTGCTGCCTGTGGTCCCGGGCCTCTTGTTAAGAACAGCGGCATATTCGATTTAATACCAGATAATTTTAGCCCGAGATCTGGTTGCCTCTGCCAGAAGGCTGAAACTCGGCCGTGGTTGGCAATGACCAAATGACAATGACCAAAAGCACACATCAAAAGAGATAGAGTGCTGTCACTCTCACCAGGTCAGACTCCACCAAAGACTGACATTTGAGGTGCTAATATTTTTGGAATCTGCATTTTTAATTTTAAAAAATGTGTTACTAAAGGAATACTTTATTTTGTTCCTAACCCATTTGTTTAACCCCAACAAATCACCTATTGCATGTGTAGTTATTTTATATATTAATTTTATATATTAATTTTTGCTCATTTTCATGAAGGGTGCAATAATTCTGGAGTTTACATTTTTCATGTAAAATGTGCAACTACCGATATCAGGGAAAGACATTTCAATAAAGTGTATAGCTATTGGTACCTGTTCATTTTATATCCATGTCCTAGTGGACAGGGGAGGACAGTAATGACGTACATGTAAAAGGACGCGATTGGACTGTCATTGGGGTCAGAAAACAAACAGGGGGAAATAATGAATTAACTAAAACCATGAAACACAGCACAACTATGGAACTAAGCAAAAGACAGGGAATAAAACTGGGCAGTAGAACAGATTAACAAACAAACAGTAACATTCACAATGACTAGAATGTATTTTAGCGTACATTAAGTAGGCACGTTTGCAAAGAGCAAGCACACTCATTTTCGAATATCTATTTTATGAAGCTATCTAGTATTTTAAGATTACTAACTTCAAGCATACCAGTTGTGGCCTTGCAATACAACACTTCAATTCTTGACCATATAAAAGGATCTTGTGCCTCTCGACTTAATGGGAGGACCGTGCAGGAAGTAAGGCATTAACACAGGATGTAAGACATTAACACAGGATGTAAGGCATTAACGCAGGATGTAAAGCCTTAACACGGGATGTAAGGCATTAACACAGGATGTAAGACATTAACACAGTATGTAAAGCCTTAACACAGGATGTAAAGCCTTAACACAGGATGTAAAGCCTTAACACAGGATGTAACACATTAACACAGGATGTAAGGCATTAACATAGGATGTCAAGCCTTAACACAGGATGTAAGGCATTAGCACAGGATGTAAGGCATTAACACAGGAAGTAATGCATTAACACAGGATGTAAGACATTAACACAGGATGTAAAGCCTTAACACAGGATGTGAGGCATTAACACAGGATGTAAGACATTAACACAGGATGTAAGGCATTAACACAGGATGTAAAGCCTTAACACAGGATGTAAAGCCTTAACACGGGATGTGAGGCATTAACACAAGATGTAAGACATTAACACAGGATGTAAGGCATTAACACAGGAAGTAATGCATTAACACATGGATGTAAGGCATTAACACAGGATGTAAAGCCTTAACACAGGATGTGACGCATTAACACAGGATGTAAGACATTAACACATCGATGTGTGTGGAATGATTGGAGATGTGAGGGATGCAGGGAATCCGCAGGAAGGAAGCATGCTGCATGACAGTTTGACACTTAATCTAATCATAGCCAGAAATTCTCTGACACAGCGTTGTCATTGTCGGGCAATTTTATTATTTACACAAATCAAGACAAATATACTTTAACACATAATTTAATTAATTAGTTTGCTGGTTTGTTTTTGGGGAGGGGAGGTCTGCCAATATTAGCATCTGTTTCCGTCGCCCCTGGCTGTAAGAGGAAATAATGTATGTTCTAAATAATAATGTCATTTCTTTTTTTCCCAGTTGGTTGTACAACCTTTTTACAAGCTTCATTGATCAAGCCTTGCATGATTCTTTAGAGAACCAGGTGATTATCAACAATGCCCTAGCATGCCTTAATGTTCAGTGCTAGTCAAAAGTTTGGATACACCAACCCACGTCGCATCACATGACCTGGCAATCTGGCCATAACCCAGTCGAAATGGTTATGGAGGAGTTTGACCAGAGAGTGAAGTAAATGCAGCCAATGAGAGCTCAGCATATATGTGAAACCTCCTTCAGGACAGCTGGAAAAGCATCCCAGGAGGCCACCTCATGACACTGGCATAGAGGAGACAGTAGGATCAGCCAGTCCCTGGAGCAACAGGGGATAAGGGCCTTGCTCAAGGGCCCAGGGATGGGATCACTCTGCCAATCCAGGGATTGGAACCGGCAACCTTCTGAGTCCCAACCCACAGTGCTGCCCCCTCAAATATATATTATTTATATGTTATTCTATAGTTTTTATGTCTTATATAATATTATTATTCTAAAATGTAGAGGATAATACAAAAGAACCTTTCTATGGGTGTGTCCAAACTTTTGACTGTTACTGTATAAAGAATTACAATATAATGGACAGACCACATTATCATTTTCAGAGTGACAATGATTTTGTCACGAGATCACACTGCTTTCCTTTACAGATCTGCCTTTTGGTGCATGATGCCATATCTGATCTAAACTCCCACCTGAAAACTCTGAATGGTATGATCCACACAACCCTACAGTCTGAAGCAGCAACATAAGCCCAATTAATGTGATACAGTTATTATTTTAAATATGATATCTTGAAAAGAGAGAGGTTCAGAAACACATGTTTCCTTCTGACCAAAGTTACGCTACAATAAGATGCTGGCAATGTACCACCTGGTTTTTGTTCATCTTCTAGTGCTAGCTACAGTGGATAAGTATGCTGAAATTGAGTACTCTATGGTTACTCCTCCCTCCATTTCAAACTTCCTCATTGAGTTAAGCTTAAAGGTAAGATGCACGTTTTCCTCAAAACAATCTGCCTAATTACCCAGTAAAACTGCACCTTATGAAAAGTCTAAAGGAATATGATTGCACCATCTTTTTTGTGTCATCAGAACCATTTTCTGCTTTAGTAGAAACCTTTCAACTAACCACGTATTTTTTAGTTTACTTTTCCTAATCGTTTATTGAATTCATGCTGACTATCTATTCTGACCAAGAGCTCTGCTGGTTCTCATGTACCTGCAGGGTGAGTTCTACAACATCGGCCAACACCAGGAGCCTCCCTTCTCTGCGCCACCTTTCTCCCTGCCCCCTCAGACGAGCAGCATGCTGTACATCGGCCTGTCCTCCTTCATGGCCAATTCAGCAGGCTTTGTCTACAACAGAGCCAGACCTCTCAGCCTGTACATCACCGACGACATGGTGAGTGAGCTCACAGTGAGCCTGCCACATTATTCACTGGCAGCTGCTTTTAACCAAAGCCAATCACACTTCCTACAGCAGTGGTGTCAAACTGCAGTCCTGGGGGGCCGGAGCCCTGTGTAGCTTAGTTCTTTCCCTGTTCCACCACAAATGATTCAGTTCAACAGCTATGTGGTAATTAGCACAAGAAGTTGAATCAGGTGTGTTAAACGAGGGGAAACCCCAAAAATGTGCAGGGCTCCGGCCCTCCAGGACTGGAGTCTGACACCTGTGTCCTACAGTCTGATTGTCATGGTTGCGGGCGGCTCGGGCACGGGAACATGGCATAGTGCACACTGAAAAAGGGCGGACGACCCACTGGCAGCTCCAAGAACAAAAAGGGGTTTATTAAATAAAACAGAAAACACTACAAACACAATGAAACCAAAAGGACCACAAGGGGTTAAAACTAAAGGGGATAAACTAAGACTAAATCAAAAACCAAATACACATCAAACACTGAAAATCGCAAAACCATTGAACATCGCAAACAACACAGCACACAGACAACAATGAACCACTGAGGAACTAAACAGAAGCAGGAACTAAAATACTAAAGGGGTAACAAGACTAACACAGGACAGGTGAGACTAATTAACAAAGAC